AATAATAATAATAATAATAATAATAATAATAATAATAATAATAATAATAATAATAGCACTGAAGTTTCAAATATATATATTATTATACTAATGTAAACTATTGATAGTAATATAAACACTATTACATAGTCTCTGCATATTCGGTTAAGTGAAGTAGAATTAAGCGACTCTGTCTCTACCTTCCCAAGGGTATTTACGAAATGAAAGAGTGCGCGAATTGAATGCAAAATTGAAATGTGTAGAGTTTCATTCTAGAATATAAAAGCCTGCATTAATGCAGGCAAGCCACAGTTGACTTTTGTGCGCTCCAAGAACATAGCTATGTTATCTTTTACGATGTTGAAACTGGTAAGGACTATTTATGGGAAGGATTTAAACATTCTACGTATTCTGTATTCGGTATTGCATTTTCAGGTTTTCCTGCTGCTCGCTGCTCTGCTTGCTTTGGCTGGGGCTGTACCTGCACCAGGACCGAATCCTAAGCCTAGTCCCCAATTTTTGTATTCTGCAGGCTATCCAGCCGTCGCCTATGCATCTCCTTATGTTTATTATGGTTAACATGCCCTCCTTCAATATGGACATAGAAGACAATAAAGATATTGCAATTTAATTGAATTCGACTGTGTATGAATAAAGAGTGATTGATTGAACTACAGCGAAGTCAGCAACCATCAAAATGTATTAGTTGGTTCAACAACCATTAAGCACCATATGCCCAGAACCATGGTGTAACCCGTAAGGCATTGCAATTTTATAGTAAGCAAGGTAATAGAACATGCTAGTATAATATGTATTCTGCAATTGACTACAATAGAATGCTTCTTTAGATAACCGAGGTCACAGATTACTCGAAATTCCGTTTTAAAATACAGAAGCTAAATATGACACAAGCCAGAATTAATACATCAACCATGTCTAGTTTACAAACCGTGGGAAAAATGTTAATTTCTGAAGTGACGCTAGTCCATTTATCAATCACCAGACTTTTATAATGCATCCAACTTATCATGTTGACGACACGACATTATTGAAAGCAAGTATATTACGATGAAGCTAAGTAATAATTTAATAGAGGCAGAGGAAGTGTTGACAAATAGCAATTATTTTATTTAAAACATTAAGCCAGTTACAAATTGATTATTGTATACATATATTATTTTAAAGCTGCCAAAAAGTATGCAATGCTATATATTTTATATATATTATAACTCATTTGTCGAGTTCTGGCGAACCTTAAACGCCATCTATTAGAAAATATATTAACTTCTTCATATTTGCCTTTATAATATGTTATAAGATTTTAAACTTGGTGTTATACAACTACTACTGGCTGTTATAAGTTTGCTATAGTGCAAGCGTCAAGCTTTCTACTATCCCAACCCCAAGTTGGCCGAAGTGCAAGCTTTAATCTTTCCCCTACCCCAAAGTAAAAGCTTGATAATTTCAGTATCGTCCAATTCCCCAGCCAACAATTCGAATGTTGAGAAACATGTTGGATGTTGCCTGAACGAACTGTTGCGTTTGGAAAGATGACGACAACCTGTCTACAATGTGACGAAAATAAAGGATTCCACAAGAGACGAAATGTCCTTTAGTACCTTTTCTGATTTTGCACTGATTTGAACACGCCAGCAACGAATTCAAGTGTAAGCAAATTACAACTGAATCTAAAGTCAAAGTTGAGTCCGCGTAGCCTCGCAGTGCTTCGCTTCGAATCGGCACTTGCAGCCGAGGAGCAGCTCCTGTCGTCTACGCTTTTTGGACTTCAGTCCGTTTTTGGCACTCGGTTGAAATGGATCACGAATCGCAAAAGTTACTCCGGCCTATTAATACCGAGCCTCGCGCGATTGTCACACGTATTTCGGATTGCCTGTGCCCAAGCGATATAAGGTGGAGCAACTAAATAAAAATAAAGCAAAAAGAGGGAGTCGGCCAGGATATGTTGCCGGAAATCAAGTCTTTGCCGCACTGGAGGTGCTGTTTTAAGATAAGAATAACCAAGGCCTTCGCTCATGAAGATGATGTCATCCGCGCCTGATTCGAATCGACGTGAAACCGACCCCAAAAGTGAAACTAAAAGTGAAAGTGGCTGTGAATGCGAATGTGTTGCTAGCGAAACTATTTCGGCAGTGGCGACCCATGAGTAATTTGTTTTTTTGGCCAAGCCACGCCTCTTTGACTCTTTATGACGCTGTCTTTTGCCATCATCCTGGCGAAAAGTGCACGTAAGTGAGTAACGCAATTAGCGAAAATCGACGACGACACCAAAAATACTCATAAGCCGTAATAATTCACGCCGAAAGGGATCAGCGTCAAGGAGGAAAATACAAAACAGCACATAAAACATGGATATATGCATATTAATTTGCTGTCTGCTTCAGCTGTCGAGAAATGGTAAGAAAATTAACTATTAACAGCTAACAGATTAACGTGAAATAAACACTGTTAAGCTAAAAACAAAATTTTGAAAATGATATAATTATTTACACAACAAATTTAAACGGTTAATGAAAAGGCTGTCCCAAAGCCTAGATCGCATTTTCTGTTTGAATAATTTTATTTATTTATTTCTTAAAGCTATTGACAAAAACGAGAGTCAAATTAAATT